TGTCTGTGTGTGTTTCCCAGCAGCTCCGTTCAGGGCAACAAAACATTAAGCACTCAAGAGTTTGGGCTTTGAGGTGAAAATCTCTGCATTTAAAACCAGACTCGGCCAGACATGGTGGCTCTGTCTATAATCCCAGCACTTTAGGAGGCCAAGGTGGGTGGATTGCTTGAGACCAAGAGTTTGAGACAAACCTGGGCAACATACCAAAATTCCATCTCTGCAAAAAAAGAAAATACAAAAATTAGCCAGGCGTGCTGGCACACACCTGTAGTCCCAGCAACTTGGGAGGCTGAGGTGGGAGGATCACTTGAACCCAGGAGGTTGAGGCTGCAGTGAGTCATGATCATGCCATTGTACTCCAGCCCGGGTGACAGAGCAACACCCTGTCTCAAAAAATAAAATAAAATAAAATAAAATAACAGACTGGTACTGACTAACCATATAACTTTGGGGAAATTATATACTTCAGTCTCCTTATCTGCAAACTCAAGATAGAGAACAAGAATACCTACGTTAGAAGTTTTCTGTAAAGAGTAAGTGAGCTATTTACATTAGAACAGTACTGGGCACATAATAAGTGCTTAAGAAAAATGCCAGCTACTCTCGTAATCAGCCACTATAGTTACTGTCATAACCTGGAATGATGTCCCACGGTTTTCTTTATGCATAGAGGGTGCCCCTGGGATCAGAAATCAGACATATTAGTTAACTCTTTCCCAATACTTGCATCTTGCAACTGAGAGAACTTTACAAGCTGTTCTATTATTTATTCCATTAGTTTTTTATCACACTTCTTTTATAGACCTCATATATATATTGCATTTTTTGAGATGGAGTTTTGCTCTGTCACCCGGCTGGAGTATAGTGGTGCGATCTTGGCTCACTGCAACCTCCGCCTCCCAGGTTCAAGCAGTTCTCCTGCCTTAGCCTCCCAAGTAGCTGGGACTACAGGCAGGTACCACCAAGCCAGGCTGATTTTTCTATTTTTGGTAGAGGCGGGGTTTCGTCATGTTGGCTGGGCTGGTCGTGAACTCCTGACCTCAAGTGATCCACCCGCCTCGGCCTCACAAGGTGCTGGGATTACAGGTGTGAGCCACCGCACCTGGCCTTTATACATATTGCCATTTAAGAAACACTGCAAGAGTCAGCTTAGTTCTGTGCAGCCGTTGGTGCCTCCAGGGCCCTGCTATCAGTGCAGGTGCAGACCTGGGCCCTGACCTTGAGACAAGCCTTCACCTAGCTGAGACCCCCTAGAGACAGACTGTAGCTGCAGAGGAGACCGTGGAGCTTGTGAAGGCTTGGAATACAGAAAGTCCACCCACTTACTATAGAATGTGGGGCAAAGGGCAAGTTCTAAAACGGAGAAGTCCACCCCTGGCTGTGTTCTCCATAGCTCTGTTTGCATTTCATTTCTTTGTGAAAGCTTTTTGCATTTTAATTGTAAACATTTTATTCATTTGGAAAATACTTGTTGAGCAACTACTATGTCCCAGGAGCTGCTGTCATCACTGGGAATATGTAGTTGTAAACAAACAGTCCTTGCCCTCATGGAGCTTGTGGCATTGTGTGGGAGACAGACAGTAAAAAAACAGATATGTAATGTAATTTTACAGAGTGGTAGGGCTTTGAGGAAAAATGAAGCACAGTAAAGAGAAAGCGTACCTGGGGCTGGGTTGCTCCTCTCGATAGAATGGTCACAGAGATGCTGTGTGACAGTGGGTTTGAGCAGAGACGTCAGCGCTGACGGGGAATGAGCCCTGCAGGTGTCTGGGTGAAAAGCACTGGCAGCAGAAGAGACAGCAAGTGCAAGGACCCTGAGGTGACAGAAGGCTTGGCTTGTTGATGGCCCCAAGGAAGCCTGTGAGCCTAGGAGGATGGAAGCTAGAGGTGAATGGTAGTGAGATTGGCGAGGCAGCCAAGGCAGGATGCCCCATGCCTAGTCACCAAAGTCCTATTTTAGTTCTCAAACTATTTTATGGTGATTGCTGTGGTTGCAATTTAGTCAACAACCATGTGAACAAGATCCTGTGTTTCAGTAGGTGCTGTAACTCATCAGAGTAAAATGAGCATGGTTTGAATATATAAGGGAAATGGTTCCAACTTGTCTAGCTTAATCACCTAAGTATGTATCACAATCATAT